TCCTGCATGTCTGATGAATCAGCCTTCCTTCTCTCCCTCTACCCTTGCAGAATATGCACTGTATTTCCACACACAGGCAAGTAACTGCAAATGCAGTAGGAAAGACAACGCCTGGGCTCTTCAAACATCAGTTGAACCAAATAGTCATCAGCCGTCTTTACCAAGGCTTTGTCCAGGATGCTTGCTCTTTGACTTATGCCACCCAGCCCAGCCCCACCTTTGTTTCACAGGGTGTTTGCACTCATCCATTTATCTGAGGACAGCCTGGTACGAGGAGAAGACAATAAAAGGTGTACAACGTGCATCCTGGAAAGACTGTAGCCTTCAAGGCTAAACTCTGTACTCCAGAGTGCTCAAACTGAAATCCCTGTTTCCAGCAGTGGTTGGTGTGGGGGGCATGGAATTAATCACGCTGCAAACAAATAAAGGTTCTTCTAACATCTTAAGCCTATCTTGGACTAAAACATTCCCTTTTCCAAAATCTTCTCACCCAGAATAATTTCTTATTCAGTAATCTTGCTGGTTTGGAGCCAGACAGCTGGCTTTCATGGTGGAAAAGTCCCTTGTTATCAGAAAAATATTGAAGAAAGGCTTCAGGGTGATGAAGAATGTAGAAACTTGGGGCAGTTTTCACTGAAATGTACTGAACATCTGCAATTGTATTTAGATATTTTTGTTGAAGCCCGGAGACTGACTTTTTGTTGTTCAAGTTCACATCAAGTGTTCTGTACGGCACCAGTTTCCAAGATAACTGGGCCACAAGTATCAATGTTTCACATAGTCCCTCTCACTTCTCAAAAAGCGGACTTCCCACAGGAAAGCCTACAGTTCCAGATCCGTAATCCTCACTCACCATGATCCTGCCCATCCTCAGTGTTGGTCCCTGAATCACAGGGTAACGTCAACTGCTCAACTGTTCTGCAGAGAGGTTGTGTGTTTTCAAGGAAGGGAGGTAGTGGTCCCCCTTCCCATAGCAACTGCTGCAAAGTCTCTGCACCAGTGTGAATATAAAAGCAAGATCTTTGCATGGAGAACATTCAGTCACTGTACCTCTAGACCAAAAGAATATGCCAACAGTCAGCTAGCAATAATGTGGCAAACATTTACCCAGACTTCTTAAGAAAAGGAAGGACAATGAGCCTGGGAATACAGTGTGTGGAGAACACCAAGTTGTCTCACGGTGCAAATGTTCCCTGTGAAGCCCAGGGCTCCCAGTTACAAGTTAGTTGTGTAGCAAGGCAGAGAAGTAATGTGAGCAAAGAATGAAGTTAGTGAACTATTTCCTTTGCCTCTTCCCTGCCACACCCTTCTTGTATTTAAATTCGGCACCAGAAATCCAAGGCAGGTGAACCAGTCACATTCAGCCAGAAACATAAAACTAGGAAGACGGAGAACTTTTTTTCAAACTCCCACAATCCTGCCACTGAGGTGAATGGGATAACACAACTGTAATACTCTAGAAATCATCCCAAGGTCTTTCACTACATCAGTTATGTAATTCTTGTTATTAATGTACCACTGAGCAACCCTTTCTCTTTTTAAATCAGTGGAAGCACAGGTTAGCTCTGGGCTAGAATATAGTGTAAAAATTAGTTGTAGGCCTCCCTCATGAACAGATGTTTCCAGACAACACTGAGAAAAGGTAATATCTAACAGTCTAAACCACATCCTTTTCGTATTTTTTTCTTTAAACATAGGATAAAGAAACAAATATTTTAACTGAGAAATATTTTTACTTTGAGGGAGAAGGGTGAAAGGTGGAAGTATGTAAATCTATCCAGTGATCAAAGCTCTCATACTATTTAACATCATACACATTCAGTTGAGATCCAGTTCCAGTACAATCAAAAAGCTACTTAAACAGGACCTAAAACACACACAGAAAAAAACCTCTGACATCTTCTAAATGTGCATGTAAAAAATCTGTATTTAGCAAAGAAAGATTCCAAGACAACAGCACAAGCATCAAGTTTTCAAAGGAGAAAGAGGAAAAAAAAATCACCTCCTGCTCCACCTTACTGGGTGTATATTCGACTCCAATGAAGCACAGCGTCAATGCTGGATCCAGCAGGTCATTAGATACTGGAGCAAACAGTATCCCAACTCCTTAAGAGACTGAGTTGATAATCCAAATACCAGCCTGTCTCCATGTATTTTGATCTTTTAAGACAGCCTACAAAATTTCTTAATTTCTATGTTTGGATTCAGGAGGAGTCAGCAGACCTTGGCAGTGTGCCCTTGACCTCTAATGGACGTTGGGCTGGTGCATATTCAAGGCATTCTTTGGGGATGTGGTGGATGCTAGATGCATGTGAGCTTGGGGAAGTCACTCCCCCCCCACCCCCCAAAAAAAAAAAAATCCAAAATTCCCTGTGAAATAGGGGAGAAAAGGGTGCAGAGGGGAAAACGGCTGCTTTGCTCTCTCCCACAGCTGCCAATTGCAGAACCAGTCATCAGAGTAGCCAAAACAAAACTATGCACACAGAAGCACACACTCTTAAAAAGTTTTTATTAATTTTCTTTTTTTTTTTTTTTTTTAAAAAAAACAAACCCGTCAGTGCAACAGTTCAGTATCCCCTTCCTATCCCCCATCAGTAAGCAGTAATTTTAAAATCAGGAAATACCGAGTGCTGAAGCCAATGGGTTAGGATTTTGCTATTATTTCCTTCTGTCAAACTCTGAAAAAGTCCTCTGTATAAATTAAACAATGAAAAAAAAAGTTATTTTCAATTCTATGTCATTACAGTCAACAGAATCATAATAATGCATCTAAAATGTGTGTCCACAATACATCAGGTATACATTTTTGGGAAAAGAAAAAAAAAGGAAAAAAAATATGGTATTCTAAGCTTGTTAAAAGGATAATGGTCCCATAGTTTTTATTAACAGGTTAGCAAAACAAAATCCAATGGATTACAATATTTACATGTTATTTGAAAAATAAAGTAGTGATAAAAGCATGTCACAATCATTATTTCTTTTTTTTTCTTTTTTTTTTTTTTTTTTTTCTATTTTTGGTAACCATTACAAACACCCAATCCAGGTATGGAACTGTTTAAATACATTTGAAATGAGGCCAATTAAAAAACAAATACAGACACAAAATGTGTATTTATACTTGTCCCTCTAATGTGTTTTCCAATGACATTCCCTCCCTACTTCAAAAACAAAACAAAACAAAAACCCAACAAAAAAATAAAAAGAATCCCCCACACAACCAATGAATCCCCAAAAAGCAAAACACCATGCTTCTCAAGTAGCACTTATTCCACAAATGCAACATTTTTTGCCATCAATTTTATATGAAGGTCTCTAAGACACCGTTTCCTCAGCAGCTTCCTATTTCCCTGCCCCCCCCCCTCCCACATATCCCGCCCTAACAAAAAAAACAAACAAAGACACATGCATTTCTAAAACTAGGTTTCAGTCAAGTACTTTCTACTTTTTGGAAAGAAACTCTTTTTTTTTTTTTTGTTCACAATCAGAACACACCATGGGCACCAGATCCTGTATTCGTTGCTCAGGCAAAACTTTCCACCCAAGAAGTAGTGCAGGATCAGCCACTTAGGTATGCAGGTTCCTATTCATTCTACACTGCTCCCCTCGCGCTAAAAGCTAAGGAGGAGGGGAAAAACTTATCAACTCCATCTTGAATTGAGTAAAAGTAGTTCTCCAGGCTCAATGTCATAATGTAACTATTTCACCTCCACTTGCAAAAAGATGTGTTAACAGACACCCCTCCCTCCCACTACACCAAAACAAAAAGAAAACACACACACCACAGACAGAAGAAAAAAAGGCAGCCAATCTTAACAAAAAGTTACTGGTGTGAGACTGATAGATGTTAATATGACAAGCAATACAAAGGTTATGAGGACCTGTGTGTTTGGTCCGCAAGCTGCATAGCTGTGCCGTAAGTTTGGTTCTTTAGTTTTTTTTTTAAAAAAAAGTTAAAACTTCTTTGTTATTTCCATATGTTTAAAATTAACAAAAACAACAACAAAAAGTTCTATTCACAAGATCTAGTCTCCTTTCCCTGTCCCCCCCCTCGAAAAGAAATACTCATTTTATATGAGAAACTTAATTGTGCTGTATTTGTAACACCTCAGGCTGATAGAAAATAAACATGTGGCAAACAAAATCGCACAATCAGTCACATGAAATCTATCAAATCCTAAAATTATAACTGAATACTAAGAAACAGCTTACCTGGAATAAAGGATGACAATTCACAAACAGTTATCTAGGAATTAAAATCTCTCTCTTTTTTTTTGTTTTTTTTTTTACTAAAATAATTAAAAAAATCACAGTATTTTAAGAAATAAAATCCACACTGGGATTTTAAGCACAATTTGTTTTCCTTTCTTTAAAACTTCTTTTCTTCCTCCATTCACTACCTTGCCCACCAGTCTCTCTACATTTAACCACAATGACAACAGGTAGTACTGACAAATGCAGAGATCTCCCTTGGTTAATTCTGAGGTACTAGGAAACAGGTGACTGTTTTAAGCAACGCAGTTTCTGTTTTGTTTTTGTTTTTCTTTTTTTTTTTTCCTTTTTTTTTTTTTTGTTTTGTTTTCTAAAGCAGTTGCATTCAGTCTGGAAAAGCGTTATGTATTAAAACTAGAAAAACGCACCCAAATTTGTGCGTTGAAAAGTTGTCCCCCCCACTTCTTCCATGCTCACGATGCTTCCATTCACAAACAATCCAAATCTCCACTGCAAAGCACGATGTGTAATGTAGGAATACGGGGAGTTGCTTCATTAGTCCGCGATGAATTTAACTTCCCATTGTCAAGATCCAGAAGAAAGATGCAGTGATGTAATGGAGCCACTTATTCCATCACTTAAATAACTTCAATATACACACACTCACACAGGTACCAGTGCTTTGAAAATAGATCATTCAGTCCTAAAAGCAGCTTTATTTTTTCACCCCACCCACCCACCCTTCCCCATTCATCACGTTCAAGTACGCTGATTAGAATCACACCAAATGCTTATTCGTTTTTGGCCTCCGAGTTGTCTTGGAGAGGTTTGTCAGCAGCTACCACGTCAACTGCTGTTTCACTGTTGTGGGAATAGTCCACCACCACCATTTTGTCAATGCCTTCTTTTTCTTCTGGCAGTGTGCTAACAGTTTCTTCTACATCCTCCTTTGGCTGGCTGTCCTCACTGGTCCTGTGCTTGCTTTCATTCAGTGCCCTAGAAAGCCAAGCAGCAGAAAACAGAAACACAGCTGACACAGAGAACAGCAAAGCCAATCTGTACATATCCCATGAGGGAGAAAACCAGATCACTTTCTAAAAAGATAGACACAAGCAGCCACACCATTGCCACTTCATGCTCAAGAGGAGAGGCAGTGCAATGAAGCTACCAGTCTAGCTTTGAAACCAAATCCTCATTTGCTGTACACTGCGACAGATACAGCTTAAGAGGGAAGAACCCCAGTTCTGAATTGTAAAGTTTATTCCCTTTTCCCCCGTGCATTTAAAACAAAACTTACAAGGCACCAAACAAAGGTACGGGAAAAGAGTACTTTTCCCAAAGAGTTAATGATCCAATAAAACTTTTTATAAGTTGCAACATTTCAAGTACTCATATGTAGGCAGACAAGATTAAGGGTAAGAGAAGTAATACTTCTCATCCTATCACAGTTAACCTACAATATTGTATTCACATGTCTTCCAGATGTCAGCAACCTTGAATGAAATCTACTCTTTGAAGAAACTCTGGTCAGCAAAGATATCTCTGCTACAAACGAGATCTTCATCAAAAGAAGGAAAATGACTGTTCCAGAGATGCCTATCTTATCTGTAATGCGTATCATCCCACAGTGTGCAAACTGCTATAGAAAGGCAAAGATCTTCACTATGAAGATAACTAGGGAACTCCACTATGCACGTTCATTCAGATTGATTTCACTTCCCTTGAAGATTTTGACATTTCTTTGCACATAATTCTTCGCACTGCTATGCAAATTTAGCTGCGAGCAACAATAAAGGGAAAAAAACCTCGTAGTTCCTTCCTAGAACATTCTGTATAATTTTCTGCCATCTTTACGCTGCTCTGCTGGCAGGCAAAATCAACAGTACATTCAGGTAAAGTTAATCCTTGGCCAAGTGTTATTCACTTTGGGACAGTTTCAAGTTTTAGAATCACCTGCAGTCCACAGCCACCTTGGGCAGCAGAGTTAAAAAGGATGAACAGGAACTTCACTTGCAAAGACATTGGATACACCGTATCCACACTTGCGATAGAAAGAATTCTTCTTCCTAGAACTGTGTTTGCCTTCACCACTAGAGCTTTCAGGGAGGTGATGAATGGGGTGGGGGAATGCACAGAGATCCATGGTTACCTTTGGCTGTTTGGCAAAGCAGTGTAAATCAACTTACATGCCATGTCTCAGCACATGTCGCTCCCATTCAGAGCCTTCTGTAAATGATCGGCCACAGAACTCGCACGGGAAGCGTTTCTCTGGAGCACCGCTGTCAGGAAACATCACAGGATCTGGAGAGAGAGCACAGGCTGTGAATTCAGAAGTGCCAGGACAAAAAGAGACCATTGTGATCCTACTCTGATCCTCTCTGCTGCACCTTCTCAACCCTGAGAAGCAAAAGGACTTACCTAGCAAATAACTGTGTTTGTGAAAATGCAACTCCCCCAAAGGAAAGTGACACTACAAGCGACAAATCTTAAAGCATCTCTGCAAATAAGGGTAACGAGTTCCTACTCCCTGTTCCTGTATTTCAAGAAATAAAGAGACAGTGGAGTTTTAATTCAAAACTGAGAAGTTTAGGGCTGAAACGGGTTGAAAGCAAAATTAAAAAAAAAAACAACTAAAGCCCATCTATAATTTTTGAATCGGTAACACAAATTTTAGGAAACAAAGACTTGGTATATTTAACATGCGATCCTCATAATAAATAGATCATCATGAAGTCTCATGGTTTAAGTGCTGCATCTTAACTGCATAGGTGTTTCATCCCATCCTAATCTCTTATACAAAGTGCTTGGGGCATCACTTGCCAAAGTGTCAAGCACCCAGTAATATGAGTGAAGTCACTGGCAGCTCAAGGAACAGTTATTTCTGAAAGCCAAGTTCCATGTGAACACAGCCAGCTTTAACAAAAGATGAAACATTTTCTCACAAATTAAGAAGATCACCACACAAACCATTAAAAATAATTGCATGGACTATCTCACTTGATTCTTTTGCTGGAAATGAGACAGCACCATCTGCTCAGAGCATTAATTCCTTCGTAGGGATTATTTTAAGCAAGAAATCAACAGAATGTCTTTCTGACTCCTCCCAAACTACATAATAAAAGGGATTTTGCTTCACTGTGTTTCTCATCTCTGTTCACTTGATTTCTTCACTCTCAGATGCACTCTGTTCAAGATCAGCCTATGAACTTAAAATTCCTAACATATTCCCTATTATCAGTGTGTAAGTCCCATAAATGTATTTTTGTGACACATCGCTCACTAGTTAGACTTTACTAAAGCTCTGTATAGAATGGTCCTTAA